TTTTCATAAGTAACTGTAAATAAATTACAATTTTTTTTCTCAGTAACTGTAACAGATTACAGTTACATTTATTTATAATTAAATTACATAACTCTGTTACATGTCTAGTTACTAACCCAACACTGTCCGCTACAACGTACGAAAAAGCCGGCCCAGCAACAAGATGAAAGTTCGCTACCATATTAAGGTAATATTTCTACTTAAGTACTCTGAGGACATTTTCACTACAATCAGTTACTGTCTGAGACATAAGACAGCACCACTTACTGAGATATAAGACAGAGCCAGCCTCAGTTGTAACTTGTGACAAAAGTGCGCCAGTCACTGATCTATGTAATGACTAGGGTGAATTTGCCCTAAAGTGGGACATTTTTTGCATTTCAGACTCCATATGACTAGTAAGCCAATTCTCAAATAACTGCTATGATGGCTTTTGTTCTACCTACTTAAATGATAGAAGTACTTGCGCTGTCCAATCTATAAAGACTGTGTCTGTTCCCCAAATAGTGAGGTCAAAATATATGTAAATTTAATGCAGGCCTCTAGAAAAAATCTGATCGTGATTAAACCAGAAAAATGCAAAATAAATGAGCAAAAACTATTTTTAAAGTTTGGGCTCCTAAACATTAGATCACTCACACCCAAAGCAGTTATTGTAAATGAAATGATCACAGATAATCGTTTTGATGTACTCTGCTTGACTGAAACCTGGCTAAAACCTAATGATTATATTGGTCTAAATGAGTCTACTAGAATATATAGTGATATTCTACAGTGGCGGCTCGTGGGTTGACTGAAAGAGGAGGCACACTAATTGTATTGGTCTGGGATCCCTGCCGATTATTATTATTATTATTATTATTTGCTTAACTACTTTAAAATGGCTTTTTGGTTGCTTTTAGTCAGAAAACGTAAAGAAAACAACATACATAGGCTACAGCAAGACAATATAATTTCACTTACCTGGCCTATCACTTGAAGCAAACATCCATCCCTTCTTAAAAGTCTGTGTTAAAAGAGAGCTGCCTGTTGTTCCATTTAATTAATCCGACTGCTGTAACGTTAGCCTATATCCAGCTTAGGCTGTTTCCCCTAAATTTGTATATATACTGTTTGAATGACAGCTTGGCAAATCTGTTGGCGATCAAATATTCAATATCGCTACTCATCATAAGTAGGCTACTTGGTACATTATCAGCGCAGCGGGAGACGTTCAAACTAATATCAGGTAAGTTACGTCTCTGTGATGATTGGTTGATATCAGAAGGAGGCTAGCCTCCCTTACGAGGTTTCTTTTCTCAACACTCCTCAGCGCTGAAAGTGAACACTCGATGGTGATTGGCTAATTTTTTTTACCAACGGAGGCACGAGAGCTCACCTCTCCCCCGGCCTCCCCCTACCCTTCTCTATCATTAGAGGTTGTAATTACATCAGCAGATTCGGCACATTCGCGATAGAAAAGCGGCGCTTTCACGTTATGGTATTACAACTGTGAAATTACAAATAAAAAATACACATTCTGAGACATGAACTGAAATGAATTGTGAATTTTATTGACATTAAATCGTCCTCCTCCCATTTTCACCTTAAAATTATGGGGAGGCTGTGCCTCCCCTGCATAGAAAAACAGTATGTCCAGCTCTAGACAGGCTCTAAAAGCTGCCAGAGCAGAGCATATCCACAAACTCATAGAAAATAACCAAAACAATCCAAGACGTCAATCAGACAATCACCCGAATTAAATATTCCCTCACAGTTTAATAGTAATGGCTTTGTGAATTTCTTCATTGATAAAATAGATAACATCAGAAATACAATAACAAATGTAGATTCTACAGCATCTAATACTTCAGCTTCATTCATTGCACCCAAAGAAAAACTGCAGTGCTTTACAACTATAGGACAGGATGAGCTAAATAAACGTATCACTGCATCTAAACCAATAACATGTTTATTAGATCCTGCACCAACTAAATTACTGAAAGAGATGTTACCTGTAGCAGATGAACCGCTTCTCAATATTATTAACTCATTATCTTTAGGTCACTTCCCAAAACCATTCAAGCTGGTGGTTATTTAGCCTTTTATTAAGAAAGCACAACTAGATCCTAGTGAACTGGCAAATTATAGACCAATTTAAAATCTTCCGTTTATGTCTAAAATTTTAGACATAAAATTCTGCTCAATTGTGCTCCTTCCTGCAAAAATAAAAAGATCTCTATGAAGAATTTTCAGAATTCCCATTGTCAGGTTTCAGGCCCCACCATAGCACAGAAACGGCACTTGTTAAAATTACAAATGACTTGCTTCTTGGTCAGACCAAGGCTACATCTCATTGCTGGTTTTACTTGATCTTAGTGCTGCGTTCGACACCATGGATCATGACATACTCATAGATCAATCACAAAACTATACAGGTATTCAAGGGCAGGCTTTAAGATGGTTTAGATCCTACCTGTCTGATCGCTACCACTTTGTTTATTTAAACGGGGAGTCATCTCAATTATCACCAGTAAAATTTGGAGTGCCACAAGGATCTGTCCTAGGTCCTCTGCTATTTTCAATATACATGTTGCCCCTTGGTAATATTATTAGAAAATACAAGATTAGTTTCCACTGTTATGCTGATGATACTCAACTATATATCTCAACAAGACCGGAAGAAACTTCTAAATGATCTAAGCTAACAGAGTGTGTTAAAAATTTTAAAGATTGGATGACCAATAATTTTCTCCTATTAAATTCTGATAAGACAGAGGACCAAAAAACAGAACACAGAATCTCTTGGATTACAATTTGCAACAAGACGGATGTATTTTTACTTCCTCTACAGTCAAAAATCTGGGTGTTATATTAGACAGCAACTTGTCTTTTAAAAATCATATTTTCCATGTTACAAAAACAGCATTATTCCATCTTAGAAACATTGCCAAGCTACAAAACATGTTATCTGTTTCAGATGAAGAAAAATGCTAGTTCATGCATTCATGACCTCTAGACTGGACTAGCCTCTAGATTAAAGACACATCTCTTTGGCCTCATTCAAATAATGCATCTCATAATCTTGCAGTTATATCTGATCAAATACACATTATTATTCTTTAGTTTGGGTTAAACAAATCAATTTTGCTTGATTGGAACAGCAGCTACGCTAATTATGTCTCTATTTGTTTTTCTGTTTCTGCCATGGAATTGACATCCCGTGGTAACTAGGATTTACACAAGCTTCAGTCTGGATCCAGAACACCTGAGAAGAGATGATACAAACCCCTCAGAGGACCTCTTTGCAACATATAATAATTGCTGTTAATAGTGTTCATCGTCTGTTTGGTTACGTCTTTAATTGATTTTTCCGTACATTTCGGCCATATGTACATTAACTGACATAGTCACCACTGATAAGCAATCAGTGTACAAAATATACTGTAGAAACGTAATTTTCTGTAAAGCTGCCACATTTCCTAAAGTGGGACACTAGGAAATTTGATTAAAAAATAAAAATATATATAATGTATACATACAAAGTTACACTATATTTTGATGGACAAACATTTCATATGCACATTATACCAAAAACATAGCAGGACTGTTTTGTTTCAAATTAATTTATACACTTTAATATCAAGTTTGTCAAAACTTTATGTCTCTGACCTTTGGATGGCCTTCACACAATGTGCTTCTTGTCTGATGATTGCTCCGCCCTCAAATATGACTGGACATCTGAGAGGTCATGCGATTTTGATCACATGGCACCACAGCTTTGGCTAACCCATAGTTTCACTGGCATTCATGTATTTATGGGGGAGCTACAAATACTAGACCTTAGCTGTCCCACATTAGCCAGTGTCCCACTTTAGGGCAATACACCCTATATAATGATATCTATTATAGATCAGTGATCAATTTAATCCTTGTACGTCAATTTTAAAAAGGTTACACAGAGGAGAAAAGCCTTGCCAGCAGAATGACAGCCCATTAACAAATAGTGCTTATTTTTAAATGGCACGCACTGTTAACGGGTTTCAATGGTGACATTTTTGTCCTTAAATGTGCAACTTTTTATATCTAGTGTAAAATAGATTTATGAAAATAAATGAGGGTGAGATATTAAAATTAAAAAATATATATATATGTTGGGCTAAAGGTATGCCGTTTGCATTAACACAGCCAAAATTATCAAAAAATTACGCTAAGAGGCACAAGGGTTAAGCATTGACGAGTATGGTTACATTAATGAGCATAGATTTACATTAATACTGGGAAATATCTGACAGCTAAATGCCGCAATAAACCAATCAGAATAAAGTATTTGAGCGTACAGAGTAATTATTAATTTTTTTTAAAAGGTTAAAATTGCTTTTTAAAAAAAGTTCATAAACGTTAAATTGCCACAAGTTACAACTCCTAAATAATTAAAAACGAAAAACTTGAGAGCATATAGGGTATCCACGTTTATTGAATTTACAAGCATTCTTGGTGTTCAAACATCACTGCAAGTAGTCTTACAGATTTTTCCTCAATATAGTGTGGAATAAGATCTACATGCTAAAAAATGGGTATAATGTTTCAGTGATCATTACTGTCCTTCCTTACTTGCCTTCACAATTTTACTTCTAAAAGCAGGATCTAGGCTTCATCAAGATAGAAGATCAGCCTGACGCAACCAAACACTGAGACTGACAAGAAAATGACCATGAAAATATGACTCCCCTCATTATCCAAGATGGAAAATACTTAAGCGGACTTCCAAAAAGAGTAATCATGGAAATACACTTTTCGTGTCACATAAGGTCTGACTGTGAATGCTATGTCTCTGGCTACACACATTCTCTGCTGGAACACTTTACTAGGCTCTTTCACTTCTGATTCACATAGAGGGCAAATCTGTTGTGAATTAAAGCGTCATATTTAATTCATCTCTGATTCCATTGGACACCAGCTTTCAGTTGGTTTTTCAAGTCCAACTTGAGAAAACGTTTAAAGTGTGAAACGTTGTTCTGTGTGTTTGTACTCCACTTTTTTTTTTTTTGAGAGTGATATTGTATACCCCTGTTACCACAGATCCTGACTAGAAGAACTGAAAAACTGAGCTGAAGGACTTCAAGAGCATGGTACTGAACGAATGCAGGACAAAGCGCCGTCGTGTCACTCCATCTTGAGGACGTATTGTGGTATTGCACGGAACTGATGGCTCAGATTTATGAAGAAATACATACAGTATTATAGACAACATCAATAAATTCATATATATTTTAAACAATTTTGAGCATAAATATACAACAGCTTTCCTTATATTTCCAATTTTATAATTGTATCTGTAATATTTCTCTGACTGCTTTTTTTTGTTTTTGGATAAAATAAGGGTTATTTATCATAAAATGACAGAGCATTTTCTAAACATAAAATATAGCCACAAACAAAATTAGTGAAAATTATTAATTGCTTTTGGCATCTAACACAATTTTACCAAGACTGAGTGGTAGAGGAGTGGAGAGGGTTTGTTTAAAGCTTGACAAAGCTGTGCGGTAAAAGCTATTCTACTATCTTTGAGTACATTGTTAGTACATAGTTAGTACATCTTTTAGTACATTTAGTACATTGTTTAAACAAACTTCTTGAATTCATCATAAAGCACGAGCACAAAAGCGCCCCCCATTCCTCTGAATACATTAGACAGAGCCCCTTTGAAGAACGCTTTTGCACCCTCATCACGAGCGATCTTTCTCCAGCAGTCAAGGGTTCCAGTATACATAATATCCGCTGGGAAAACAAAAGACAAAGGCCTAAATTGAAATAAATGCATACTTGATGAAGAACAGTGCATGTGTTTGAACGTGTGTTGTATACCTCCTTTGCGCCCAGACTGCATCATCATGCGACGCCGCACAGTGTCAAATGGATAGGACACCACGCCAGCCACTGCCGTCACAGTTTGTGCAATCATCCAGCTGACCATAATGTGGGTGTTCTTAGGGTCGGGAAGCATGCCTGCATACCACCACACAAAATAATGCACACATGTTTCACATAGAATTCAGAACTGAAGAACTGGCTGTGTGTTGACTTGAATTGGCCATATCACAAGTTAAATTAGAATGACAAAATGAGGAATTGTAATTCTGAATGCTAAATTGTAATTCAAAGAAAATACAGGTAATGAATTCTTGGAAATTAAGTGATCTTTCACCCTGGTCCCCAAAAATATCATGAAATATAAACTAAATACAAATTTTTAAAGGTGAAATTTCAAGCATCTCTAGCCATAACACCTATAAATCTACAAACTTTACTTTTTTTTAAACTAGTGTTAATATTGTTAACTAAAACTATTATAAATAGTTTTCTTTCACTGAAATAAAGCTGAAATAAAATAAAACACAGAAACTGGTGGGAAACTGGCTGAAGTTAAAGTTCAAAAAGTACTAAAACTGAAATAAAAATAAATTAAGTTAAACAAAGCTAATAAAAATGACAAAAGCACATAATAAAATAATTACAACCTAAACTAAACTGAAAAAGGAAATAATAAAAATCTAATTCAAAATATTAATACATAAACAATAGTAAAATAACAGTTTCAAACAAAGTTTGTCAAGCCAAGAATCAATGTTTGTATTTTCTAGTAAAACTAGTGTTATTTTTATTGAGAATTGTTTTTAATTTCAATTCATAAAGATATTAATAAATAATTTAATAGTATATACATAATACTAATTTAACCGTTTCAAACAAGGCTTTGTCAAGCCAAAATTTTAAGTTTGCATCTGTTTTTCTAGTAAAACCAATTTTTTTTTATTCAGAATTTTTTTAAATTTACATTTATTCAAAAAATAAAGACTAATTCAAAAAAATAATAAATACTATTATAGTATATAAACAATACTAAAACAACAGTTTCAAATGAGGCTTTGTCGAGCCGAGATTCAAAGTTCTACTCACAGTTTTAAATTCTATTTCAAAACATTCAGATTAAATTGTGCAGTTTTATTTTCGACCACTATTCAAATGATTTCCAATTCAGGAAATACACTGGAATATAAAAAGCATTCTCAAAACAATTCTGAATGTCCCACAGCATCTGAGGTACAAACCTATTACCTTTAGCAGTGTCATAGACTCCGAAGTAGGAGGCCCTGTAAATAATGATGCCCTGGACAGAGACGTTGAAGCCCTGGTACAGACCCCGCAACCCATCTGACCTAAAGATTTTGGCCAGGCAGTCAGCCAGCCCAGTGAACTCTCTGCTGCTGCTGCCAGCTTTGCCAACATCTGCAGCCAAGCGGGTACGAGCAAAATCCAGGGGGTAGACAAAGCAGAGGGAAGTGGCTCCTGCAGCTCCACCAGAGGCCAAGTTGCCGGCGAAGTATCGCCAGAACTGCGTGTGCTTATCAACGCCACCCAAGAATATCTGTTTGTACTTGTCCTTGAAGGCAAAGTTGAGGGCTTGTGTGGGGAAATAGCGAATGACGTTGGCTAGGTTTCCGCGCCAAAAGGAAGCAAAGCCTTGCTCCTTAGGAATCCTCACAATACAGTCGATAATACCTTTGTACTGTTTGTCTGCACTGATCTGCTTGCTGGCATGCTGTACCTATAAAGTGAAAAATAAAATACTAAGATACACACGATATCTGGATTGATTTTTTTGAGGTTTGTTGGTCCTTGAGCAATGTTTTAAATACTCAAAACTATGAAATATCATTACAATTTAAAGTAACATTCTTTTGTAGCAGTTTATATAAAACCCTTTCTATTTTAATTATTTCTGTGATGGTAAAGCTGAATTTTCAGCAGCCATTATACATCAGTTTTCAGTGTCACATGATCCTTCAGATATCATTCTATTACGCTGATTTGCTGCTCAAGAAATATTTATTATAATTATCAATGTTGAAAACAACTGTACTGCTTAATATTTTTATGGAAACCATAATACATTTTCCCAATATTCTTTAACAAATAGAAAGTTCCATAGAAAAGCATTTATTTGAAACAGAGGTGTTTTGTTAACATTATTAATCATTAACATTATAAATAACATTATAAATATCACTTTTGATCAATTGAATCTGTCCTTTTCTTTTAAAAAAAGAAACAAAATATAATCTTACTGACCCCAAACGTTTGAACGGTAGCCTAGTGTATCACAGTTTCCACAAAAATATTAAGCAAAAACTGTTTTCAACATTGATAATCACATGAAAGGTTTCTTGAGCAGCAAATCAGCATATTAAGATGATTTCTGAAGGATCATGTGACACTGAAGACTGGAGTAATGGCTGCTGAAAATTCAGCCTTGCTATCACAGGAATAAATCAGATTTTGAAATCTATTAAAATAGAATTGTATTGTAATCATATTTCACAATATTTCTGTTTTTACCACATTTGTGATCAAATAAGTGCAGCATTGGTGAGCTTAAGAGACTTCTTTTAAAACATTTAAAAAATCTTGAAGATTCCAAACATTTGAATGGTAGCATTTAGTTCTGACATCATTTATTTCTGATTTTAGAGGAACATGTCCTTCTCGGCAAAATCAGTCCGAATGCATAATGCCTGGGCCTGTAATATGAGACCCGACTGCAGGGGGCAAGATGTGCCACCTAACCAGCTGCTAGAAATTCACTGTTTGGCCTTAAAATACGGTACTGCACATTTGGGTTACTGAAATCTAGAAATAAAGATCCACATGAGAGAATGACAGAATAGAAACTCAGTATTAAAATGACTATTTGTATGTTGAGATGCTCCAAGGATGCGGATGTTGCAGACACGACTACTCAAATATGGCCTCTGAAGGACAAAGTCAGTTCGCATCTCTATAGCCACAAAATAATTCATTTTATTCTTAAATACTAAAGAGAGGGGTTTATAAATTAGCATGCATCATGGCAGAGTGCGTTAAAAGAAGTCAAGATGATGATTCTCACCTGCAGCAGCAGTTTGACTCTCTCTATCGGTGCGACTGCGGTTTTGGAAATAGCCGCTGCGACACCACCGGCCAAAAAGTCTTTAGCAAAAGAAAGTGTAGCATCAGCCATGGCGATAATCCTTAAACTCGGTGTATTGCAAACACGATATGCTGAACGTGCTGGCAGAAGCAGGAGGTAGAGCGGTAGAGCGGAAGGTGATGGGGAGGCTGCGGAGGACACACTGCACTAACTCTCGAGGTTTCTCGCGATATTTGCTCCCGAATCACTAGGGTCAAGTAAAGACGCCGTGTGCAACAGCTACAGAATTTACATTTTCATGACATGTTGTAACTATTAACTAATGAATAACTTTCTAATTAATTGTATATAATGTTAGTTAATATTCTAATTGATTACACGATGTATCATATTATTCCAATCTAAAAGATTTGAACTATAAACCCAACATACAAAACCAGTGCTGAAGAATCATACGTTCTGATTAGACTTTTGACTTAAAACCTAATAGTTATGATATATAGCCCTTGAATCCATTCCTTGTATGACTACAAACCCATTCCTCACTATAAAAAACTAGCTAAAAGAACACTGTCATTTGTTTCAAAACCATAATTCAATATACAAATATACAACATTCTCTGTGTCTGTAATTAAAAATAATAATGCACAAATACTTATTTTGAGCTTTTAGGTCAGAAATGTTCATAATATTTGAATACAGCTAAAACGTTGAACGGTAGCCTAGTGTATCACAGTTTCCACAAAAATATTAAGCAAAAACTGTTTTCAACATTGATAATCACATGAAAGGTTTCTTGAGCAGCAAATCAGCATATTAAGATGATTTCTGAAGGATCATGTGACACTGAAGACTGGAGTAATGGCTGCTGAAAATTCAGCCTTGCTATCACAGGAATAAATCAGATTTTGAAATCTATTAAAATAGAATTGTATTGTAATCATATTTCACAATATTTCTGTTTTTACCACATTTGTGATCAAATAAGTGCAGCATTGGTGAGCTTAAGAGACTTCTTTTAAAACATTTAAAAAATCTTGAAGATTCCAAACATTTGAATGGTAGCATTTAGTTCTGACATCATTTATTTCTGATTTTAGAGGAACATGTCCTTCTCGGCAAAATCAGTCCGAATGCATAATGCCTGGGCCTGTAATATGAGACCCGACTGCAGGGGGCAAGATGTGCCACCTAACCAGCTGCTAGAAATTCACTGTTTGGCCTTAAAATACGGTACTGCACATTTGGGTTACTGAAATCTAGAAATAAAGATCCACATGAGAGAATGACAGAATAGAAACTCAGTATTAAAATGACTATTTGTATGTTGAGATGCTCCAAGGATGCGGATGTTGCAGACACGACTACTCAAATATGGCCTCTGAAGGACAAAGTCAGTTCGCATCTCTATAGCCACAAAATAATTCATTTTATTCTTAAATACTAAAGAGAGGGGTTTATAAATTAGCATGCATCATGGCAGAGTGCGTTAAAAGAAGTCAAGATGATGATTCTCACCTGCAGCAGCAGTTTGACTCTCTCTATCGGTGCGACTGCGGTTTTGGAAATAGCCGCTGCGACACCACCGGCCAAAAAGTCTTTAGCAAAAGAAAGTGTAGCATCAGCCATGGCGATAATCCTTAAACTCGGTGTATTGCAAACACGATATGCTGAACGTGCTGGCAGAAGCAGGAGGTAGAGCGGTAGAGCGGAAGGTGATGGGGAGGCTGCGGAGGACACACTGCACTAACTCTCGAGGTTTCTCGCGATATTTGCTCCCGAATCACTAGGGTCAAGTAAAGACGCCGTGTGCAACAGCTACAGAATTTACATTTTCATGACATGTTGTAACTATTAACTAATGAATAACTTTCTAATTAATTGTATATAATGTTAGTTAATATTCTAATTGATTACACGATGTATCATATTATTCCAATCTAAAAGATTTGAACTATAAACCCAACATACAAAACCAGTGCTGAAGAATCATACGTTCTGATTAGACTTTTGACTTAAAACCTAATAGTTATGATATATAGCCCTTGAATCCATTCCTTGTATGACTACAAACCCATTCCTCACTATAAAAAACTAGCTAAAAGAACACTGTCATTTGTTTCAAAACCATAATACAAATATACAACATTCTCTGTGTCTGTAATTAAAAATAATAATGCACAAATACTTATTTTGAGCTTTTAGGTCAGAAATGTTCATAATATTTGAATACAGCTAAAACGTTTTTTTTTCAGTTAATGAACTAGAATAAGTCAACTGTAGTGTTTCCAAAATGCTGTAGTCATTATATCACTCAAGTTCTGCGGTCTCTGTGGATGCTGAAGAACAGCCTAGTAATGTTCTTTTGTCATTTGGGTCTTCTTGGGGAAGTCGTGGCCTAATGGTTAGAGAGTCGGACTCGTAACCCAAAAGGTTGTGGGTTCGAGTCTTATACCGGCAGGGATTGTAGGTGGAGGGAGTGACTGTACAGCGCTCTCTCCCACCTTCAATACCACGACTGAGGTGCCCTTGAGCAAGGCACCGAACCCCCAACTGCTCCTCGGGCGCCGCAGCAAAAATGGCTGCCCACTGCTCACGGTGTGTGTGTGTTCACTGCTGTGTGTGTGTGCACTTTGGATGGGTTAAATGCAGAGCACTAATTCCAAGTATGGGTCACCATACTTGGCCACATGTCCCTTCCCTTTTTTTTTTTTCTTTCACAAATAGTATGGCATCCAGCAGGTTGTCCGTGTGTTTGATGTGTTTGGGAGTGACGCCATGCTTCTCCAGTAAGTCCCTGTATTCGGTGGTGCTCCTCTGCTTTCCTTCTGTCATACTGAGGGCCTGCAACAGGGCTCGGCTAGGCCTTTTCCTCTCCTCATCCAGAAAAATCTCAGACACCAGAAGCCCACAACCTGTTTGGTAGCAATACATTCATAAACCAAACATTTAAACACTTGACCTCGATTTAAAAATAATAATAATAATAAAATACTTTTTATGACCTTGGGATGTCCACAATTCAAAATACTTTCAAGAATCCAGTAATGTTAAGTATGATCTGGTAGAGTTATTGTAGGAATCAATTAGGCCAGGGCTTTACTAACTGGGATGAAGAGGGGCCACAAGGGGGCACTAAGGGGCCATTTGCAAAGGGCTCATCATATTACAGGATCCTCCTTGGCATCAAAAGTTTTATACTTCAGACTCAGGCTGACATATTAAGAATTCAGTTTTTAAAGCACTTACCTGGAGTGCACATTTTAGACAGTTTACTCAATAATACATTAAGTTTCTCATCAGACCAATCATGGAGGATTCGTGCAAGAATATACAGGTCTGCTTTAGGTAGGTCATCTTTAAAAAATCTACTATTGTGCAAAAGAAAGAAAGAAAGAAAGAAAGAAAAATAAATTAAGTGAGAAAAAATAATCAAAAATGTGCACATTACTCACAAAGTATTATATGAAACAAATACACTGCAAACATTTTTATCATAAAAATTTTCATATAAAGTCTTCACCTACCCCCCAACAAATGACACTCTGTCATCATTTTCTTTAGGCTGAAAGTGGCGTCTCACCTCAATAACTTGTGGCAAGTCAAATACAATAACTGACAGTCCAGGATGGGCTTTTGTAAACTCATATGCCATGGCACCAGTGCAACCTGTGTGAGAAGAGAATGCTTTTATAACATGCCTCATACCATACATATATATTTATTTATTTTTTATTTTATTTTTTTTATCTAGACTACACTTCAAAAATTTGGGGTCGGTAAGCCTTTTTGATGTTTTTCGAAAGAAGTCTTTTATGCTCTAAAAAGCTACATTAACTGTATTTGATAAAAAAAATACAGTAAAAGCAGTAATACTGTTGTGAAATATTATTACAATTTAAAATAACTGTTTTTTTATTTGAATACATTTTAAAATGTATTTTTTTCCTGTAATGGCAGAGCTGAATTTCAGCAGTCATTACTTCAGTCTTGCTTAATATTTTTGTGCTTCTTAAGTTTTTAAAAGTTGTATTAAGTATTTTCTTTTTTTAAATAATCTTACTGACCCCAAAATCTTGAATGGTGGTATATTTTTATTACCTGTCAAAATCAGGCCTAAGTGTACCAATTTAAAATATATCCAAAACATAGTTGTACTACATGTAAATCAGTTTGATGATGTTCAGTAATATAAGACGCATGGGGCAGGACTATATTATATTATTATATTATATTCATTTCACAGAAATGAAACCCTTCACCCTTAAGAACCTTTAAGGTTGTTAACCATTTTGTCAGTGTGGAAAATAAACTCTAGCTCTAAATTTAGGTCAAAGCGGGTAAAGAGAATAAACAGGATAAATACAGATGTCCTTGGCATGAAAAGCACCTGAGAGAACTGGTAATTAGAAGCATATATAATTTGCATAACAAGCTTCCAAATCCTTTTTCAGATTAAAATATGCATGCACCATGCTCTAGTGAAATCTCAAATTATGCAAGACAGCAGCGGGACAGTGGTTTCTGCACATCTTATCTTTAAGCTCTCGCAGTCACTCTTGCACGTCTCAATGGGAAGTCAGCAGTGCAAAGTTTTGATCTGTTTTTTTTTTAACGTCACAGTTTTTTTCATGAGTGGGGAAACCTAAAATCCTAAACGTTAGAAAAAAGCTGAGAGATTATGTTCTTTTATTGATATTTTTTTCTTTAATCCATATTTTAATAAAAAAAAACATTTATTTTCATTTATTTTTTACATTTTCTTTTTTTTGTGATTTTAAAATTTACTTGACTTTGACCTGATATGTTAGGCCTGTCCATTTAAGACATTAATTGTACATTTCAGTCGATTTAAAAATATATATTATTTGTTTACCTAAAAATTAACAAATTGATAGCCTTTATTTTACCATCTGTATCTATTTTTGAGGGAAAATTCATATACCTCCATTGTCACAGGCCATATTATAAGGAGAAAGATCAAATGCTGTTGCCACATCTTTTCCAGTCAACCTTGCAATGCTATGCATTGCATCCATAAATCGTATCTTAACTTCATCTTTAGTGTAGTAGGCGTCCTAGAAAGCAACAAAACAGTTCTGCTTAGTACTAGAATGTCAAAAGCTTTTGAAAATGCATGAACCACAGGTGATATAAACAGACACGTTTAACTCGTGTTTACCTGAAACACGAAATACAGTAAAAGCAGTAATACTGTTGTGAAATATTATTACAATTTAAAATAACTGTTTTTTTATTTGAATACATTTTAAAATGTATTTTTTTCCTGTAATGGCAGAGCTGAATTTCAGCAGTCATTACTTCAGTCTTGCTTAATATTTTTGTGCTTCTTAAGTTTTTAAAAGTTGTATTAAGTATTTTCTTTTTTTAAATAATCTTACTGACCCCAAAATCTTGAATGGTGGTATATTTTTATTACCTGTCAAAATCAGGCCTAAGTGTACCAATTTAAAATATATCCAAAACATAGTTGTACTACATGTAAATCAGTTTGATGATGTTCAGTAATATAAGACGCATGGGGCAGGACTATATTATATTATTATATTATATTCATTTCACAGAAATGAAACCCTTCACCCTTAAGAACCTTTAAGGTTGTTAACCATTTTGTCAGTGTGGAAAATAAACTCTAGCTCTAAATTTAGGTCAAAGCGGGTAAAGAGAATAAACAGGATAAATACAGATGTCCTTGGCATGAAAAGCACCTGAGAGAACTGGTAATTAGAAGCATATATAATTTGCATAACAAGCTTCCAAATCCTTTTTCAGATTAAAATATGCATGCACCATGCTCTAGTGAAATCTCAAATTATGCAAGACAGCAGCGGGACAGTGGTTTCTGCACATCTTATCTTTAAGCTCTCGCAGTCACTCTTGCACGTCTCAATGGGAAGTCAGCAGTGCAAAGTTTTGATCTGTTTTTTTTTTAACGTCACAGTTTTTTTCATGAGTGGGGAAACCTAAAATCCTAAACGTTAGAAAAAAGCTGAGAGATTATGTTCTTTTATTGATATTTTTTTCTTTAATCCATATTTTAATAAAAAAAAACATTTATTTTCAACATTTTCTTTTTTTTGTGATTTAAAAATTTACTTGACTTTGACCTGATATGTTAGGCCTGTCCATTTAAGACATTAATTGTACATTTCAGTCGATTTAAAAAAATATATTATTTGTTTACCTAAAAATTAACAAATTGATAGCCTTTATTTTACCATCTGTATCTATTTTTGAGGGAAAATTCATATACCTCCATTGTCACAGGCCATATTATAAGGAGAAAGATCAAATGCTGTTGCCACATCTTTTCCAGTCAACCTTGCAATGCTATGCATTGCATCCATAAATCGTATCTTAACTTCATCTTTAGTGTAGTAGGCATCCTAGAAAGCAACAAAACAGTTCTGCTTAGTACTAGAATGTCAAAAGCTTTTGAAAATGCATGAACCACAGGTGATATAAACAGACACGTTTAACTCGTGTTTACCTGAAACACGTCCTCATTCTTCTTCCCAAAAGCTCACTCATGTTGGCTGGTGCCCTCCCTGACAGCATTCTCTAGATGACTGAAGAGAGGCCACACCATATCATTGCATTGGAGAATGTATCCATGCAGAGTCTCTGGGCTGTCTTTCAGGTGGGCTATTAAAAATCCATCCCAGCTGCTTGCAGAAGTGATTAAGAGGGAAGCCTACCACGTTAAGAAAATCTCCTCGGATGTTGGCATACTCCGCCAACATGCCACCCAAAGCCTAGATACCGTAACCACCAGCCTTGTCCCTGTCAAGCACAGAT